GGTTCTGACTCCCTGGGACCCAGTCCTGCCCGGCTGCAAAGGGGGCCTTTGAACAGCAAGCGGCAACTCTGGCAATACAGGTGTGGGCAGATCTCAGTAAAGACACTACACACCACTGCCCTGACCAGTGTGGCTCAGTGGATAGAGCCTGCAGACTGAAAGGTCCCAGGTTGGATTCCGGTCAAGGGCATGGACCTTGGTAGCAGGCACATCCCCAGTAGGAGGTGTGTAGGTGTGCAGGAGGCACCTGATCGACGTTTCTCTCTCATCGATGTTTCTAACTCTCTATCCCTCTCCCTTCCTCTCTGTAAAAAATTAATAAAATATATTAAAAAAAGACACTGCACACCAGGAATCTTGAGGAGCATTAATTAGTCCGGTTGCTCCTCTGAGCTACTTCTAGGGTGGCTTTTAAACTTGCGTTTGTTTCAACTGAAAACAAAGGAAACAAAATCAGTAGCTGGTAGACCAGGAAGGAAAATGGCATCTAAGCTCCGGCTGGGACTGCCTTGCAGGGAGCACCCGGAGGCCCCAGCAGGAAGGGCCAGCCTTCTCAGCGGGGGGGTGGGGGGAGCTATTCTCGAAACTGGTCTTCGAGAGCTTTAAACGGGCCACAGTGAATTCTGTGAGTTGACTACTTTCTGGTCTGAGCACCCTCAGCTTTAGGATTCAAAATCAAAGTCCAGCAAACGAATCCTGAGTTTTACATTTGTCACAGGGGTTCGTCCACCAGGCGGGCAGAGCCAGACACTGGCACCAGGACTGCCGGGGAGGAGACTGGCTGCCTGCTTGCCATCTGAGCAGCCCTTCTAGAGGAGCTGGGCTTCTGAAAACAGGTGGACTTTGCTCTTCTGTGTTGCAAATGGAACTGCGGCTTCCCCATCCAATCAGAGCTGCAGAGCTATAGCCTCATCAACATCTTCATCGACCAATCAGAGCAGCTCCATTCTGACCAATCAAGACAGTCCTATTGGACCAATCAAACTGTGAGGATTTAGAGTCCACATTTGCATATGGACTGACGAATCAGGGGACAGGGGCGGGGACCTCTGTCTATATAAGGGTTAGGGTTGGGTTTAGGGTGAGAAAACGGTAAGAAATGTGATTTAAAGTCAAGAATTTAGAATATGTCACAAGCTCCACCTGCTCGAGGGATGAAGGAACCTTCTCGGTTCCGAGGAGAGAGGTTTTCCTTGTCCTCTTTCCAGGCCTCAGAGAGCAAAGACCAGTGGCTGTGACCGGGGTGCCCACAACACCCAGGGCTACGGAGTGTCTTCAGCTGGTCTGACCAGCAGCACAGAAGAGCGGAGTGAACAGCGTGTCCACCTGTCCTCAGAAGCCCCGCCACCCCGTTCCGTGGCGGGACGGCAGCCCGCGGAGAACCCCGGTCGCGGGAGAAAAGGACTTCGGTGGGTCGTGGCGCTGGCCCGTCCTCCTCCCCGTCAGCGTTCGCTCCCAACGCCAAACCCGCGTCTCTCACACAAAATGCAGTGAGCACGTGTCCAACATGTATGCAGCTCAGCACTGAGCACGCCGCAGGGTAGGGAAGGTGGTTCAAAGAGCGCATGCGGACTTCGCTGGCGTTTAAAAACGTGAGCGCGACTGCTGGACGGTTTGTTAGACACAAACGCGGCCAGTGGCCTGCCTGGGACCGAGCGCCCAGCCTTCGTGGTGGTTCTTCCTAAGGAACAGAAATCCACAGGCAGCTGTAGCTCTCCCGGGTCTGGGTTTAGCGACCAGCCAATGGTCCACCCCGGGGACACGCCCCCCCCCCCCCCCCCCCCCCCCCCCCCCCCCCCCCCCCGCCTTATTTTCACATTTGGATCGTTTTTCTGGACAATCCCTGAAGAGAGAAATTCTAAACCGGTTATCTCAGAATCTGCACGCTCACTCCTCGCACTTGAGCAAAGAAGAGAGGCCAGAAGGGCATCACTCACACTCCATTAGGCTCTGGCGGCCAGGCAGTGCTCGCAGGGCGGCGGGGCCCGGGCAGGCCTCCCGCCAGATGGCCGCCGCTCCCAGGCCGGTCCGGCCAAGATCCAGACACTCAGCTCCGGGAGAGGCTGGTCAGGAGTGAAGTCGGTGAGTCTGCACCTTCATCAAGACCTCATGGGATGGGAACGTCACGGAACCTTCCGGAAAGTCTCCCTGGACTTCCTAGGACAGATGGTGTTTCCTGTGTTTAGCGCTCCCAGGACTGAGCGAGCCCGGGTCGGTGGGCCCCGGCAAGGATCGCTTCCGGAAGCTCTTCATCAGTTCAATCAGTTTCTCCTTTTCTGTGAAAAGGGTTCACAATCGATCAGTGTCCTCACCTGAAAGCCTCTTCACTTACTTAAGGCGTTTTTCAGCCGCGATTTCTCTTAGGCTAAGTAATCCGAAGTGCTGCCGCCTTCCTTCCTTCATCGGCTCCTTAATTCTATTGGCTCTGCTTCGCTGAGCCTCCGGGGCCTCCCCCGGGCCAGGAGGAGCGTAAGACCCCCCTCCCCGCCGCCAGCGCTGACGTCACCTGCCAGGCCCACCCCTCAGGGCGCCCACTCTCTCCTACAAAAGCCGGCCTCGCTCCCCACCGCTCCCCACCGCAGGGGACACAGGCGCCTGACGACCCTTCAGGTTGTTTCTTTTGTTTTGCTCACATGGTCATTGTTTTAAAAAACCAGCAATGATAGTTAACAAAAGAGGAAATAAAACACACCCAGCAGGACACTTCTCAGGAAACAAGATTCGCAGAGGGGCCTGGATGGGGGATGGAGGTGAAAGCGAGGAGTCCGGGGTGACTACACAATTTTGGGCTGTTGGATTCCGACGGGGCACAGCCCTGGGTGCGGGTTCGATCCCTGGTCGGCGTGCGAATGGGAGGCAGCCGATGAACGTTTCTCACATCGATGTTTCTCTTTCCTTCCTCTCTCTGAAAACCAATAAAAACATATCCTCAGGTGAGGATTTTTTTATCTGAAAGAAAACAGCAAAAAGTACCATGTCTGCTCAATCCAGGGGTAAGTCCTTCAACTTTGTTCTAGTATCTTCTGTACTTCCATGTATGCTTGGATTTTTTGAAAAGTCGAATGTTTCTAGTTTATCAACCGACGAGCAGGTTCAGGACAGGCGGAGCGGGACCATGCTCAGGGAGGACGTCCCTGTTACAGTGTCTGCCCCCCCAGAACGGCCAGAACCACCAGCGCCTCGCAACGAGGGACAAGGGAGCGCGAGCGGACGGAGATGTCCTTTGCATCCTGTTGTCCACGTTTAATAACTTACTTCTCGTTACTTAGATCTGTCTGCTAAGAGGAAATGGAAGAGGCAAACCATTTCTGGTCGGTCATGACTGCTAACCTGCTGGAGCCGGGCCTTTGACAGTTGCCTGTGGCTGTGCACTGTGAAGACCCCTCTGCTGACATCTCAAGGGCAATGAAACTGTATTGACGTGGAGAGTGTTGTGAAACCCCTGCGATACCAAGCAGCTGTGAGAGGGGGTTGCTGTATACTCACCGAATTATCGGTTCCTCGGCCGTAACCAAGCCCCCAGCCCGTGTGCTCCCGAGGCCGAAGCCCAACAGTAAGGCGGATGGTGAGGTCAGTGGGGCGCCATGCCCAGCTCCTGCTGCCTGCTCCCCCTGCCCCATCAGCAAACCCCCCCACCTACGTCCTCCTGCCCCATCAGCAACCATCCCACCCACATCCTCCTGCCCCATCAGCAACCATCCCACCCACATCCTCCTGGCCCATCAGCAACCATCCCACCCACATCCCCCTGGCCCATCAGCAACCATCCTACTCATGTCCTCCTGGCCCATCAGCAACCATCCTACCCACATCCTCCTGCCCCATCAGCAACCATCCTACCCACATCCTCCTGCCCCATCAGCAAACCCCCCCACCTACGTCCCCCTGGCCCATCAGCAACCCTCCCACCCACATCCTCCTGCCCCATCAGCAACCATCCCACCCACATCCTCCTGGCCCATCAGCAACCATCCCACCCACATCCCCCTGGCCCATCAGCAACCATCCTACTCACGTCCTCCTGGCCCATCAGCAACCATCCTACCCACATCCTCCTGCCCCATCAGCAACCCCCCCACCTACGTCCCCCTGGCCCATCAGCAACCCTCCCACCCACATCCTCCTGCCCCATCAGCAACTCCCCCCCCCACCCACGTCCCCCTGGCCCATCAGCAACCCCCCCCCCACCCACGTCCCCCTGGCCCATCAGCAACCCTCCCACCCACATCCTCCTGGCCCATCAGCAACCCCCACATCCACATCCTCCTGGCCGATCAGCAACCTCCTGCCCCCCCCCCCCCCTCCGCACCCACGTCCTGTCTGCTTGCTCCTCTCACAGAGGAGGCAGCACTGGGTGAACGCATGCAGGACCAAACCATGGTGGCCAGGAAACTCCTCAGGAAACCGGAAGCGCTATCTCCCAGATGACCTCCCTCTCCCCACTGCTTCTGCCCGCAGTGCTAAGACCCTCTCCCCGCCTGCTCTCCAGAGCTGCAGCGTCTGCCTCTGCAGGACTGAAGCTGATCCGGGCCCTAGAGCAGTGATGGCGAACCTATGACACGTGTGTCAGAGGTGACACGCGAGCTCATTTTTTTGGTTGATTTTTCTTTGTTAAATGGCATTTAAATATATAAAATAAGTATCAAAAATGTAAGTCTTTGTTTTACTATGGTTGCAACTATCAAAAAATTTCTATATGTGACACGGCACCAGAGTTAAATTAGGGTTTTTCAAAATGCTAACACTCCGAGCTCAGAAGGTTCGCCCTCACTGCCCTAAAGAGTGAGCAAAGCGACAGGTGATCCAGGCCGCCTGCAGCAGCAGGGAGTGGGCGCCCAGGCTGGCGCTGGCCCCGGTGTCCCCAGGGTTAACAGGAGGCGGCGCTGGCTCCATGCCCTTCAGTGTCCCCACAGTTAACAGGAGGCAGAGAAAAAGCCTCGCCCACACCCACCACGTGACCCTGTTTATTACTCTGATCAAAAGCTACTCACACAACACCACGGGATTTTACCACCTGAATGTTTTATTTTGCTTGGTTATACAGTATGAATGATTACCTCACAATCCAATATAGTTTTATAAGTTTTGTTCTCCAAAATGGTGTTAAGTGTTACAGGGCAAAAAAATTACATTTACTTTAACAAAATCAAGCGGCTCCCAGCCAGACATCCCCCACCTCTCCCCGCAAAGGGGACCGAGAGCCAACAACCCCCAGACCCTCCCATGGCACCCGCACACTTATGTAAAAGGTCAGGCTGTGAATGACTCATCCGCGATGCTCAGAAGTGAGAGGACTGAACAGAGGCTGAACTCTGGAGCACCTCACTTCCTCCTCTTGGTGGAGTACAGTTTTTCTTCAAGTGGGACCGGGACAATCCCCTCACACGCCTTTACTTCCTGGGTCAGAGGGTGTTTCACAATATTAGGTCTGATGACATCAATGTCTCGAGACAAGTGGTCCAGCATGCTTTCCACAATTGTTGTTGGTGCATAAAAATCCACCAAGAAATACCTGCAATAAGAGAGAAATGCATGAACTCCTGCCTCTGAACTCCAACCCTGCCACTCCGGTCGATGCCTTCATTCTGCCCCACCCAGACAGAGACATCACCTGCACACAGATGCATACGGCCAGCTCGCCAGGCATCAGCTACACACATGCATCCTCCAGCTGACCAGCTACCCCAGTGCTGGCGTGCCCGGCCTCCCTTCCCGTGTCCTTTCCCATTACCCTGTTGTGAACATTTGAATCCAAACGAACTTGAGCACAGAGGCTCACAGTCACAGCGGGGCAGGGCCGCCCCGCGTTGGAGTGCGCACGCCTCTGCTGGCTGCCGCGCAGGGATGCAAAGCCTGGTGACGTTACACGGCGTGGGAAATACTGGAGAGTATGGTTACGGTAGGGGTGCAAACAGAACATGCTGTTCAACAGGACGGAACTTCTCAACAAACCATTAGTTGGTGTATTTTGTGAAAACATCTATGAGGTAGTCTTCTAATTTTCCAAAGGGTTTACAAGTACCTTAATGCACCAGAGTCACAGTGAGACCATCAGCTACACTTCACAAGACAGGCCTGGGACTTGTCTAAGACAAGTGCACATTCGCAAACCGGCCAAGAACAAAAGAATTACTTGAAAAACGACTTCCCCATCGTGGGGAAGGAAACAAACACCAGATCCAGGAAGCCCAGCCAGTTCCAAGTAAGAACCCACAGAGACCCACACCATGACACGTTATAATTAAAATGACAAGAGTTAAAGGCAAGGGGAGAATATTAAAGCAGCAAGGGAGAAACAACTACATACAAGGGAACTCTCATAAGACCACCAGCAGATTTTTCAGCAGAAATTCTGCAGCCAGAATTGAGTGCCACAATATAGGCAAAATGCAGAAAAACTTCCAACCAAGAATACTCCACGGCATCACTTGCCAGTGTGGCTCAGCTGGTTGGGGAGTCATCCCATGCACCGAAAGGTTGCTGGTTTGATTCCTGGTCAGCGGACATACCTAGGTAGTGGGTTTGATCCCTGGCTAGGGCATGTACAGGAGGCAACCGGTTGATGTTTCTCTCATCTCTCTCTCTCTCTCTCAAAATAAAAAATAAAAAACAACAAATAAATCAGTAAAACATCCTCAGTTGAGGATTTTAAAAAAACAAAAGAAAAAGAATACTTTATGGCAAAGTTGCCATTCAGAACTGTAGGAGAAATAGTTTTCCAGATAAGGAAAAACGAAAGGAGTTCATCATTACTAAACCAGCCTTACAAGAAAGGTACTTCTTTCGGGTGAAAAGTAAGAGTGCTAATTAATAACAAGAAAACACATGAAATAATAAATCTCACTGGAAAGGTGGGTATATAATAAAGGTGGTAGATTTATCACTTATAGAGCTAAAGAAGGTTAAAGACAGAAACAGTAAAAATAACTATGATTATGATAACTAGCTACGGGATATACAAGGTAAAAGATGGAAAATGTGACATAAAATGTGGGAGAGAGTAAAAATGCTGAGCTGTAGAATGGGCTCCAACAAGCTGTTATCAACCTAAAATAGATGGTAATGGATGTAAGCTGTAACATGCAAGCCTCACTATAACCACCAAGCAAAACCTACAGTCAGTACACAGAAGAGAGGAGGAATGTCAGTAAACCACTAACGAGTCAGCAACTACAAAGGAAGAGAGCAAGAGAAGAAGGAACAGGGAAACTACAAAACAGCCTGCAAACAATTACCAAAAGGACCATCAGTGCATACCCATCAATAATTACTTTAAATGTCAATGGACTAAGTTCTTCAGTCAAAGACAGAGTAGCTGAGTGGATAAAAAAATAAAACCCATTTATATGCTGCCTACATGAAACTCCCTTTTGATGTAGGGACACACAGACTGGAAGTGATGGAAGGGAAAAGGTATTCCATGCAAATGGAAACAAAAAAGCGAAGACAGCTATACTTATATTAGACAAAGTAGACTTTAAAATGAAGAGAGTAATAAGAGACAGAGAAGGGCACCCTATATAATAAAAGGCTAATATGCAAATCGACCGAACAGAACAACCAGTCGCTATGATGCGTACTGACCACCAGGGGGCAGATGCTCAAGGCAGGAGCTGCCCCCTGGTGGTCAGTGTGCTCCCACAGGGGGAGCACTGCTCACGCAGAAGCCAGGCTTGTGGCTGCTGAGCGCAGCGGCGGTGGTGGGAGCCTCTCCTGCCTCCGTGGCAGCGCTAAGGATGACTTAGGCCAGTGGTCAGCAAACTGCGGCTCACGAGCCACATGTGGCTCTTTGGCCCCTTGAGTGTGGCTCTTCCACAAAATACCACATGTGGGCGCGCACATACAGTGCGATTGAAACTTCGTGGCCCGTGCACAGAAGTTGGTATTTTGTGGAAGAGCCACACTCAAAGGGCCAAAGAGCCTCATGTGGCTCGCGAGCCATGGTTTGCCGAGCCGCAGTTTGCCGACCACTGGCTTAGGCTCATGGGAAGTGGGCCTAAGCCATCAGCTGGACATCCCCTGAGGGCTCCCAGACTGTGAGAAGGCACAGGCCAGGCTGAGGGACACCCCCCCCACCCTGAGTGCACGAATTTCGTGCACGGGGCCTCTAGTTACATAAGGGGGTTAATCCACCAAGAGGATATAACACTTGTGAACATTTATGCACCCAACATAGGAGCACCTAAATATATAAAGTAAACATTCAAAGGCCTAAAGGTAGAAATAGACAGCAATACAATAGTAAGGGATTTTAATACCCCATTTACATCAATGTATTGAACATTCAGACCAAAAAAACCAATAAGGAAACATCTGCCTTAAACGACACATAATACCAAATGGACTTAACATATACAAAGGACATAACATCCAAAAGCAACAAAACACACATTGTAGTTAAGTATACGTGGAATATTTTTCAGGATACATCATATGTTAAGGCACAAAACAAGTCTTTTTTAAAAAATTTTTAATTTCAGAGAGGAAGGGAGAGGGAGAGAGAGATTGGAACATCAATGATGAGAGATCAATCACTGATCAGCTGCCTCCTGCACGCCCCCTACTGGGGATCAAGCCTGCAACCCAGGCATGTGTCCTTGACCGGAATTGAACCCAGGACCCTTCAGTCCGCAGGCTGACGCTTTATCCACTGAGCCAAACCGGCTACGGCACAAAACAAGTCTTAATAAATTTTAAAAGATTAAAATAATGTCAAGGATCTTTTCTGACTACAATGGTATGAAACTAGAAATTACACAAGGATATCTGGACAATTCATAAATATGTGGAGATTAAACAACATTTCACTGAAGAACCAATGGGTCAAAGAAGAAATTAAAAGAGAAATGAAATTTAAAGATCCCTTGAGATAACGGAAATGAAAATACAGGTTTTCCTCGCTTTCCCACTGTAGACCAGGCCTAGGAAATCTTTTGGAAGCCGAAATGGAGCCAAGTGAAGGCGCAATTATCAATTTATAGGAAAAAAAATTTAGCATTCCCAGACCCAGACCCCAAATGTAATGCACATACAATGTGTTCATTTCATTCCCAGTCAGACTCTTCATTACACCCAGTGTTATGCTGACTGTGACTCCCACATGAGCTCTCTCGGGCCTTCCTGGTGCCTCAGGGCCCTTCTTGCTAATGGATACACCACACCAGCGCTAAGTCAAGGGACAGCCCAGATGCTCAGACACAGTTCACAGCGTGGCAGGGCCCCTGCTTTCGAGGGCGCACGCCCCTGTGCTGGCTGCCGCAAGACCACGCTGACTTCTGTCCTATTGATGGGCATTTAACAAAACCCCTCACCCACTCCTGATAAGGACCCAGCCAACTACAGAAGGGACCTTCTGCAACCTCATGAAGAGCATCACTGAAAAACGAACAACGAACAACACACCAACTGGTGCCCATCTGAATGCTTCCTCCTCAGACGGAGAGTAAACCCGGAAGTCTGCTCTCACCACTTCAACACTGTACTGAAGGTCTTGCCCGCGCGATAAGGCAAGAAAAGAGGAAGTAAAAGGCATCCAGCCTGGTAAACAAGAAGCAAGACGGTCTTCATTTGCACATGTCACGATTGGGTTTATAAAAAATCTGAAGATGTAAATTTTTTTGTAAATTTCTTCAGATTTTTTATAAACCCAATCATGAACTAATAACTGAGCTCAGTAAGCTTATAAGACATGATATTAATATACCACAAATAAAATCAATGGTATTTCTATGTACTAGCAACAAATAATCAGACCGTGAAATTAAATATAAAACACTTAGGCATTAAGCTGACAAAAGATGAGCAAGACCTGTACCCTAGAAACTACAAGCAGCTGTGAAAAGAAATGAAAGGGAGCCTACATAACGGAGAAGTGCGCCTTGTCCATGGGTAGGAAAATTCCCATTTATTTAGATGCCAATTCTCCCAAACTGCCCAATCAAAACCATAGCAGATTCTTTTGTTAGAAATTGACAAACTGATTCTAAAGTTCATATGGAGATTTAAAGAACCTAAAACAGCCAAACTAACTTTAATAAAGAATTAGTGCAAGACATAACACTACCTGATTTCAAGACTTATTCTAAAGCGCTGGTAACCGCGGCAGCACGTGTTCATACACAGGTACACACACCACCAGGACAGAATGAAGAGTCCACGGCGGACCATACAGGTACGTGCAACTGGTTTCAGACAAGAGGTGGGAAGGCAGCGCAGCGGAAGGACAGTCCTTCCGACAAGCGTGGCCACAACAATCCACTGTCCACATGCAGAACAATCAGCCTTCACCGCTGAGGAGGAGGGGCCACGGGTCACTCGAAACGGAACAGGAGCTACACAGACAACATGAAGCGAGGAAAGTAAAAGGGGCCCAGGAAAAGCCCTTAGTGGCCTTGCTGTAGGCAGATTCCTTAGACACCACACCAGATGCACAGCCCACACAAGAAACAAGAGATCAGTGAGACTTCAGCAACGTTAACACTGCTCTCGGCCTTTTTCCTTTTAACTGCTCTC